GAGTAACCTATTTATATGTAGGATTCCAAGGGTCATGGGTATAACCCATAATCCATACCCATGGGTTTTATGATCCATGGTTCATGTGGCCCAACTCTTTATGTATCCATACATAAACTTGGCCTAACATGGATCATAAGCCCAACACATATAAATATAACTAATTATCATAATTAGTCCCCATAGATTTAATTAGTCTCTTTTTGATCACTAAATTAATTCCAAATTAATTCTTGATCGATACTAATTAAAACATATGATTTCATATTAATATATTATAACTTATAATATATTAATAAACCATAAATAACCTTCTCTCAAAAGTCCATCCTAACAAATCGTCCTGATGATATGCAACCCAAATGGACCATGCTACTCTCGGGTCAAGTACATACCAATAATAGTTATGGGCTTAGACATCTAATCCAACAGTCCAAGCATGCACCTTGACTAAGTTCAATTAGCCTTTTTCTTTTTGTCTCTCAAAATTCTTATCCCGAGAATATAGGTTGCCTCTCCTAGATCCTTCGTAGCGAAACACTTTCCAAGCCAAGATTTCACTTCTTTCAAGGTTGGAATGTCGTTTCCTATAAGTAGTATGTCATCAATATACAATACTAGAAAGGTTATTATGCTCCCACTAGCCTTGACATACATACAAGACTCATCCTCACTTCTAGAGAAACCAAACTCTTTGACTTTCTCATGGAAGCAAAGATTCCAGCTGCGAGATGCTTGTTTCAATCCATAGATGGATTTCTCAGGCTTACACACCCTATTAGGAAACTTTGCATTAACAAAACCCTATGGCTGACTCATGTAAACATCTTCAACCAACTTCCCATTAAGGAAAGCGGTTTTGACATCCATCTGCCAAATTTCATAATCATGAAAGGCAGCTATGACAAGCATTATCCTAATAGATTTTATCTTAGCCACTGGTGAGAAGGTCTCATCATAGTCAATCCATGGGGTTTGAGTAAATCCCTTCGCGACCAGTCGTGCCTTCAATGTGTGCACATTTCCATCCATGTCGGTCTTTTTCTTGAAGATCCATTTGCACCCGACTGTCTTACGATCGGGTACATGATCAACCAAATTCCAAACTTGGTTATCATACATGGACTTGATCTCGCGGTCCATTGCCTCTTTCCAATTTGAAGACTCAAGGCCTGCCATTGCTTCCTTGTAGTTAGCTGGTTCTTCCAGATTTACCAGTATACGATCACTGATAAGCGTATCACTATCTGCAGTTATATGGAAACCATAAAACTGAGGTAGCATGCTAACTCAACTGGAACGACGAAGAGGTAATGAACCATCAACCGGTTCAACTGGAATTTCTTCCTCTGGTTGAACGCTAGTGTCTTCAAATGTTCCTTTATTGGTTGACTCTTGAATCTCTTCAAGGTCAATTATGCTCCCAATGTCCTCTTTTCACATGAGCTCTCTCTCGCGAAAGACTCCTCTTCGTGCTACAAAGACCACATTCTCACTAGGTCTGTAGAACAAATATCCAAAATACTTTTATGGGTAACCAATGAAAATACATCTCTCACTTCTAGGTTCTAGCTTGGCATGACTCTCTCGTCTAACGAAAGCTTAACAACCCCAAACTTTGATATGTGCTAACGAGGGAACTTTCCTTATCCACATCTCGTGAGGTGTTTTGGCAACCTTCTTGGTAGGGACAAGATTGAGGATATGGGCGGCTTTCTCTAAAGCATACCCCCATAAAGAAATGGGAAGAAAAGCTCGACTCATCATGGAACGAACCATGTATAACAAGGTTCGATTGCCCCTCTCAGTCATACCATTAAGTTGTGGTGTCCCAGGAGGATTCAATTGTGAAACAATTCTACATTTCTTGAGATAGTCGTGGAACTCGATACTAAGATACTCTCCGTCTCTATCAGATCGGAGCATCTTTATCTTCCTGTCTTATTGATTATCGACTTCATGTTTAAAGTCTTTGAACTTTTTAAAGGAGTCTAACTTATGCTTGGTTAAGTAGATATAACCAAATCTGCTATAATCATCAATAAAGTCACACAAAATCGATTAACATCCTTTGTGGTGGATCTGAAGGGTCCACACACATATGTGTGTATGATATCCACAAACCCTAACCTCTTTCACAAGATCCAGTGAAAGGTGATTTTGTCATCTTCCCCAAAAGACAAAATTTGCATTCATCATCTGACCTTAACTTAAATGATTTCAACACTCCATCATTTTGGAGTTGGGCGATGAAATTCTTGTTAATGTGTTTCTTCCAATTAGATCAAAGTACATAGCTATTTCTTCCATTTAAGAATAATATTTTTCTGCATAGTACAGAGTAGCTAATAATCATTAAATCAATCTTCAACTTAAAGTTATTTTTTATAAGTACATATATTTTTTTATAACATTGATCTTTTAACTTTTAGTTAATGGGATTTAAACTTTGTATGCTTTTTAACGCATCTTAAATGAGCAAATGTTACTTATAGTTATGTTTCTAAGAAATATGAAATGAATGGAATTCTAAACTTTATTTAAGATCAAATATTCCACCTAATTAAAGGATGAAATGTATAATTTAAATTTCATATTTACATAATGAAAAAGATTGCCCGGTTTCGGGGGGAATTTATATAAAATGTAGTTTTGCTACCAAATGTATAATATTAAATTTACGATTAAAAGAGAATGGTCCTTTTGATAACTAAAAGGCATCCACATATGAAAGATAATTAGGTATAGTTTAATTTACAATAATAATAATTATTTATAAACACTAATATATATCATCCTTTCTTTGTTACATGATTTGAGAGAAACTATTTCAAAAAAAATATATCATCCTATTAAGATAATTAGGTATAGTTTAATTTACAAATTTTCACATTAGTCATTACATATATAAATTTACAATAATAATAATTATTTATATACACTATTTCAAATTTTCACTTTGAAATAGTCATTACATATATAAATAGAGAATTTTTTTGCAAAAAAAAAAATTGAAAAAAAACTGAAGAATATGAACAATAATCCGGAACAAGGTATTTCGAAGAAAATAGTTATGAAAAAAAATGTAAAAAAAAACTCTCAAATATGAATAATAGTCCGGAAAAAAACTTATTTATAATAGTTATTGTAACCTCGCGCGTTGTGGCGGAGAACACCGTTGTAAAGTGAACCACAAAAGCATAAGATAAAATTTCAACCGAAACAATTATGTATGAGAGATGCGAGTAAAAATAAATTTTAACATTGTATCTTGATTGTTACACTTCATAAACGACAATTATTTAAGATATTATAATGATAAAAAGCAAGGTTCTAAAAAGCTCGTCATGACCCGCCATGAGTCCAAGGCTTGTAGTTGCTGCCGAGTTTTGACAAATTGTCGCCTTAAGTCATATATGTATATAAAAATGAATAATAGTAGAATATATATATAAAATTATTAATTATATACAAATTTTCCGCCTTATGTCATGCCTTACAAACGACGTGTCTCGCCATAGCTCGAAAAATTTTGAGGTTTGACATTGCCGCCAAGTCACGCCTTACATTATTTACAACCTTGATAAAAAGTAATATTTATAAAAACAAAAACTATAAAAACAAATTATGCAAGAGACCAAAAGCGTAACTTAAAAATATAGTAAGGGACTAAATTTATAAGTTACAAAATACCAAAAATTTAACTTTAAAATTATAAGGATAAAAACTATTAGATAAAAATTAGTTTAGGTTAAAGAATGTAAAAGCAAATGAAACCTAAGGGCTGCAAATGAAAAAACAAATGAAAGTGAAAATACGAAAAAGTGAATAAAAGAAACCTCTCTCAACTCTCTCAACGGACCGCACAAAATTAGTTTTGGGTAAAAAATGTAAAACCAAATAAAGCTTAGGGGAGAAAAATAAAAAAACACAAACAAAATGAGGAAACAAAAGAAACGACTGATTTGCTTACACGTTCCATTGTTTCAAATCAAACCACTAAAAGAAAATGATTTTGTGAATCGCCTCACATAGTAATTAATATATATAATAATAATTATAGTAGGAGTAAATTATATGAATGGTCCCTATGGTTTGGGTTAATTTGCGCGTTTGGTCCCTAACTTATTTTTTTTTAACTCGGGAGATCCCTACTATTTGTTTTTGTAACGCATTTGGTCCCTACTGTTTGTTTTTGTTACGCGTTTGGTCACTGTCTTACTTAAAACGACTATTATTTAAATAGGGAAAAATGATGACATAAGTAAGGTAAGGTGAGGGGAGTGAGGTTGAGGGTGTGTTTATTTAAATAAATTAAAAAATCAAAGGCAAAATAGTATTTTTAGATAAGACAGAGACCAAATGCGTAACAAAAACAAATAGTAGGGACCTTCCGAGTTAAAAAAATAAGTTAGGGACCAAACGATCAAATTACCCTAAACCATAGGGACTATTTGTGTAATTTACTTTTATAGTAATGTAATGTTTATACATTACAAGTAGGGTTGTAAACGAACCGAACGAACACAAACGAGGCTTGTTCATGTTCGTTCGTTTAAGTTAGCCGAACAAATAAACGAACACAAACAGATAAACAAACGAGTTTTCTTGTTTATGTTTGTTCGTTTAACAAATTACATTGTTCATGTTCGTTCGTTTATGTTTGTGAACATGCTAAACGAACATAAACAAACGAAGACAAATGAACAAAGATAAAAAAAAACATAATTGAAGAATATGAACATAAATGAACATATAATACACTAATGTAATCAAACACAATTAAGCTTATGTGAACATAAAATGAACTTATATGAACGAACATGAACGAACATAAATGAATATAAATGAACAACATAAACGAATGTTCACGAACATAACTGAACGAACGAGACTATTGTTCATGTTCGAACGATAATTTGTGTTCATGTTCGTTCGTTTATTAAATAAAAGAACATAAACGAATTTCTCACCTAACGTTCGTAGTTCGTTGATAGTTCGGTTTTTTGACGGCTCAAATTACAAGAGGGCTTAGATGTCATTCACCGCCTCTCCCATCGACCGGGAAATATATAATCACATCTCTTGGAAGAAAACACCGAAGGAAACGAAATCCAAGTAAAAGGCCAAAATTGAAAACCGGTGGTCCGGCAATGGAATGGGAGGTAGATGAAGGGAAAGAGGCGGCGGCGGTGGTGGTAGGGCTGATAGAGAAGGCTACCAACTCAACTAAACCTGACTTGGATCCGCGAATCCTAAAATCAATCAAATCGGTTGTCCGTCACTCTGATTTGGAGCTCCGTCTCGCGGTCGAAAACCTAATGAGCCTCATGAAACGAGACCACTCTCAGGTCTGTCCATTTCATTGTAGTTTTTGATGAAACTAATTTGTACATAAGTTGTAGGGGTTTTCAGTTTTACATGTAACCCTTCTTAAATTACACAATTCTGACTTTTGAGCTCTACGATGAATCGAGTTCCTATTGGAATTAGGAAGTGCTCAGCCAGTTTATATTTTGTGTGCATAGACGACGCGATATATGTCATCTTGATAATGTAAAACATGCGAAGAGAAGAATAGAAGATAGCAGATAAAATGATGAACAATCATTGACCAGAGATTAGTTATCAAATGGACAACCCTTCCCTGATTGATAATTGATTTTTTCTAACTGCCAGATCAATAAAATAACATACACATACACATAAGAGCCAGCTTACACTAAGATGAAAACATGAGCACCTGTATGAGTATGGACTATGGACATAGAACAGTCCATAAGATTTAAAGTGTTGGGATTGGTTGACTCAATGAACAATTAAGAATATTGTGATATGCTTAAATGACAGAGTTGAGATGAAATTGTGATATTGCATTGCATTGCAGGTACGGTACCTTGCACTAGCCATAATCCATGAACTGTTCATGCGGTCAAAGCTTTTTAGAAGGCTTATTGTTGAGAATTTGGAGCAATTGTTGAGTTTAAGTGTTGGGTTTAGAAGAAACCAGCCACTCCCTGCACCTCCAGCCATTGCATCCAAGTTGCGTTTAAAAGCAATTGAATTCTTAGAGAGATGGAACACTACGTTTGGAATCCATTACAGACAGCTCAGATTAGGGTATGATTACCTGAAAAACACCCTTAGATTTCAGTTCCCTAATCTTCAAGCAAATGCAGCCAGAGCTCAGCAGGAGAGAAGAGAAAGAGAGTTGCGGACAAAAGAGATTCTGTTAAAGAAATACGAGCTGTTAAAGTCAAACCTTCCTTCAATCAAGGAGGAAGTAAAGTCAATGGTTGATGAAATCAACGAGTGCTTAGATATCCTTCAAACCTGTAAACAACCCAACCTCCCGCTTTCTCCCATCGATGAAGAAGAAGAAGAAGAAGAATATTTTGAGGAGTTTCGTAACCTTGAATTGCGACAGATTCGCGACAATTCATTAAAAGAAGCAGATAAGGTGCAGGAAAACAGCGAAAACAAAGTTGTTTTCGACGCGTTGAGAGAACTTTACAAGCTTTTAGTGACCAAACATATAGTTGCAGTACAGGAATCAATTTCTGTTCTTATAAGGGTAGAATTGTCCGATAACAGAGTTAGAGACTCCATGTTAAAAGAATTCATCGATACCCGAAATCATCTGAAAACAATCAAAAAGAAATGTGAAGAAGCAGGATGTGCTCTTTCAGTCACTACAGATGAAGGAGGAGAAGAAGAAGAAGATATCTGGGAAGAGGGCACAAGTGAAAGATTTGATATTCCAAAACCCAATAAGCAGAGCGAGGAGGATCATGATGCAAACAAGAGTAAAGATTCTGTAAAAATTATTAATAATAAAGTAGTTTGTGATGCTGATTTGGACCCGTTAAAAAGCAAGCTCATGGGTGAAGCCCCGGTGATGAAATGGGGTTCCTTTTTGGACAACTGGGGTTCGGTTATGGCTAACCAGAGAGGGTTAGAGGTTGAAGGACATTGGGGTCGGGTTGACTATGATGCAGTGGTTCCAGCTAATAAAATTGCCGAGCTAAACATTCAGGCAACTGTTTATGAAGAAGAAGAAGATGATAAAGAAATTCAACAGTGCGGTGCACCTCTAAAAAAGGAAAAGGGGGGGCTTTGTACGCGAAGGGATTTGAAAATTTGCCCTTTTCATGGGCCTATTGTCCCCCGAGACAACCAAGGGAAACCATTAATAAATGATGATGACTACTTGTCGAAGAAGAATCTTGTGTTAGTGTCGACAGAGGAATTAGTGAAACAGGCTGTGAATAATGTGAGGGAGAGAGATACTACTACAAAGAAAAGGGAATATTATTATGATAATAATGTGAGGGAAATGAAACGGGCTAAACTTGCAAAAGTTCGTGGCCACAATGACACTGTTTTGAGAGATGCAGCACTTGCTTCCACTTCAGCTACCTGTTCCATTGGTGAAGATGTCGAGACAACAGAGAAGAATAGTCTTGCAAAGATGCTGAAAAAGAAAGTAAGTGTCAAGGATAGATTGGGTACAAGGCTACTCAATAGGAAGGCAACTGCAAGAGCAACACAGACCATGAATCTTGGAGATGATGATCATTCAAAGTACAGAGAAGCCTTCCCTAATCAATGGTAGTAAGTAAACTAGTGTGTGACTCTCTGGTTTGTTTGATAAGAAAGAACTCTACATTTCCACTTTTAACTATATACGTTTATTTGTTGTTATACACAATAAAATCATTTTCTTATGTGCTCTCATTTACCTTTGCTTTAAACACATGTCATATTGCTCTAAATTCTGGAATGTTAAAGAATGATTAGTGTTGTATTAATCATATTAACCTATTTTGTTATGATATTAGTGATATTTACCAACTTTGTTATGATATTAGTCATATTTAATTTTTTAAATTTCAAAGAATTAACAGTTTAGGGTCCCCGATTAATCCCTTAACCCAATCTATCGATTAGCTAACGTCCAATGTTTTTTACAACCTTTCTTTTAAACTAAGGGTGTTGTTAGTCTAATACACCATAGTCTAAACATCCATATTTATCAACTAATCCAAAGTTTAGAAAACATGAAAAGAGAAGTTGACTCTTAACAAACCTAGTCTAAACATCCATATTTATCAACTAATCCAAAATTTAGAAAACATGAAAAGAGAAGTTGACTCTTAACAAAAGTAGTCAAAATTTAGAAGGAGGTGAAAGTTAAGAAAACATGAAAAAAGAAGTTAACTCTTAACAAAAAGTAGTCAAAATTCTGAAGGAGGTGTAACTTGAATATAGACCAGGTATATTACCTTAGTCTAAACAATTTCAAAAAGTAGTCAAAATTCTGAAGGAGGTGTAACTTGAATATAGACCAGGTATATTACCTTAGTCTAAACAATTTGACATGTTTCCATTTTAGCTATTTTTATTTATTTTACCAGTTTGAGCAACTAAAACAAAACCTAATCCAATTAGGAGTTTAGAACTATCTCACAAGTATATTTCTCTAAAGACAAAATTGCAAAAATGGTCCCTGTGGTATGCAAAATTTTGGGGTTTTAGTCCAAACCCTTAGTTTTTTGGATTCAGGGTCCTTTTGGAGTGGTTTGTATGTGAAAATAGTCCCTCCGGAAATTAAAATGACTATAATACCTTTGGGTATTTATTTTTCATTTTTCTTTCATTTTTTTTTAAAATTTAATATTTATTTATTTATTTTAACAATTAAAAAAAATAATAGAGGACCCACCTCTCTCTCTCTCTCAACTAAATCTTCATCTGCTTCTGTAATTTCTTTTCTTTAACATACACACACATAAAATTAAGAAAATTGATGTAGGATGCTAGCTGCCGAATCTTTTGGAGTATTTCTTCCGCCGAAGGAGAAGGTTGTGGTATCTTTGCATGTCTGCATCGACATTCAGGACCATTTTGATAATATCCCAACTTGCACCTGTATTTTTTGGATTTAGCATCAAAATAACCCCGTAGCGATCTTGTACAGATGAACAATTAGATATGAGAGTACTAAATTGAATTGATAAGGCAAAATTTATTGATATATTGATTTGGCGTATGAACCCTAAATTGGGTTTTGTTCAATTAAATTGGGGGTTGTAAGGGTTCTGGAGATGGAGTCCAAATTCGATGTAAGATTTTTATTATGGGATAAATCAGTCAAATGATCTTATAGGTGAATCAATTTAGAAATCTCGCTAATCCCAGATTCAAGAATCAATACAAATGGTGAAGACCAAGAATTTGGAGTGCAGTCACTAAGCAAACTACCTCGTCATATATGCTATTTTTTTAAAGAGCATGGATTTTGAATCGACTAATGGACAAAGAATCAAACAAGTTTCTGTAAAAAGAACTCATCGGTCAAGTTTGTTTAGTTTTGGGAACTTTCAAATGAAATCGAATAACAATCAAAGCGCCCAAAATATAAACACGAAACAATTCAAGTAGTAGCAAAAAAGATGGAAAATTTGTGAATACCTCCATGAACGATGCTTAAGGGTGTGTTCGGCACGGAGCGTTTGAGAGCTTCTAGCTTGTAGCGTTTGACAAAACGCTCCGTTTTGAATAGAAAGCCTCGTTCGGCACTGCAAGCTTCTAGCGTTTAGTTTAAACAAAACGCTCCAAATCCAAATGCTACTTCATGTAGCGTTTAACAAAACGCTACAAGCTACAAGCTACCCGCTACAAGCCACCCGCTACAAGCCACCCGCTACCAGCTAATTTTGCCGAACACGCCCTAAACCGAAGAAGATGATGATACAATAAATATCAACCTAGACAATCTTGTTTGGACAATTAATTTTGATCACAGTAGCTTCATCTTCCTTCTCTGTTTGTTTGCCTGATTATCACATCGTCTCCGTGTAGCATGCCCATCTCTGGTTAAATTCGTCGGAAGCTCTGTGGGAGGAAGAAGAAGAAAGGAAAGCAAGTGGTGGTGGTGGTGGTGGCGGAAGGAGGGGATGATTATGAGAGAGAGAGAGAGAGAGAGAGAGGTGGGTACTCTATTATTTTTTTAATTGTTAAAATAAATAAATAAATATTAAATTTAAAAAAATGAAAGAAAAATAAAAAAAAAATACCCCAAGGGTATTATAGTCATTTCAATTTTCGGAGGGACTATTTTCACATACAAACCACTCCAAAAAGACCATGAATCCAAAAAACTAGGGTTTTGGACTAAAACCCCAAAAATTTGCATACCATAGGGACCATTTTTGCAATTTTGTCTTCTCTAAATTATAAACTTTATATATTTCAAGTTTGTAGGAGAGGGTTTGGCTTTCATTGTTTGCTCCCTTTCACTAGATGACTGATCCAATGTTGGATTAAGTTAATACTAAAATGACGTTTGGTTTGTAGAATATTTCTAAGAAATTGAAATTTGCCAAGGAATTATAATTTATTGTGAATTGTAATCCAATTTCATATTCTTGTTGGTTGGCACTTGGCAGGAAATGAAATTGAAATAATGTAAATTTTTTTGCTTAATTTTATTTTGTGACGGTGGTGGCAGAGATGATGGCAGTGGTGGTGGAGGGTGGTGGCGGAGGTGGTGGGTGGTAGTAGCGACAATAATTATGCTTCATATTTAAAAAGTTAAAATTAATTTCATCATTGATGTTTTAATCAAAATGAAGTTATAATGGGGCGCCCCACAAAGAAGACATTGTGATCAAATTTAAAGAATAGTTAATGTGGTAGGATCTTCCGATACCGATCATGATCTTACAAAATATAAAAGTATCTTAGGTCGGATCTAAATCTTGATAGCCTCAAGTGTAAGACTATTGATGCTAATTATAATCCTTCAAACTCGTGATATCTGGTTATTATTCATGGATTTTTAAAAATGACTTTATTTAAAAGTTTTCGAATTCACACATCAATATGAATCCTTTAAACTAAATATGAATCATAGGTGACATGGTTACTTTGGTGAACAATGGTCTTAACAAGTTGAAAACGAATAAAAAACAACAACAAATAGGGGTGACAATTCTCGACCCAACCCGTAACCCGACACGAAAATAAACGAGTTTGGGTTGAGATTTCTGACCCGTCAATCCGCCAACCCGTTTATTTCATGGGTTGGGTTGGGTTACCTGTTTAGGTTTGCGGGTCAACTTGCCAACCCGACTCTCTCTCTCTCTCTCTCTCTCTCTCTATATATATATATATATATATATATATATATATATATATATGGAAATCTCCATTAAAGTTCTAATATTTTAGGCCAGTTTATGGTTTAATCCCAAATTAAATTTTGCTTACAAAAAATGACAGAATACCGGCTAAAACTTCGGAGTAACCCTCTGTGGCCAGTTTCGCAGATTTAGCCGGTATTCCGGCTTTTTTCGTTAATTCGTCAAAATATTGAGACTTTTTCGTTAATTCAGCTAAAACTTCGGAATAACCATTTTATCAATATATTAAAAATGGTTTGTTTTTTAAATGAGCATTTTTTTCATTTTTTTATACAAGTTTATATATTCAGTTTTAAAGTCACGAAATTTAGAAAAAAGTATCCATACAATATAAATTATAATCATCCAAGTGAGAATACATCTTAGTTATCATCGTACAATGAATGAGAAGACAAACGGACAACAATCCAAAAAACTAACAAACTTCATGAATTTGTCTGAAAAGCTTTACCGAAGATAGAGTGCTCCATGATTGCAAGATGAAATTCATACAAAAATATTGTATATTTTCTTTTGATTTCAACATTGGTTTAAGTATTGAGATAACCACAAAACCTACATAATAATACTAATCAGTGTTACTTAAATCTATGGGATAACATTTCTCGTTAATACTCATTTTCTTCTTCATTCTATTGGTTGTTTAAAACCTTAATCCATCTGCCCTATTTCTCCCTCTGTTTCTTTCTATCTATTGCAAAATTGGGAAGGATGCGATAAGGGATACATACACACACCCCTTAGATAGATTTGTCTTTCCTTTTTATGTGCGCACACACGCATAAAAGTTTTTGATCTGGAACGTTTGTGTGTGCGTGTGAAATGAGGGTATCAAAGTTCAAACGAATCTGTGTTTTGTGGTCTAGCCAAGGCAAGACTAGCTGCTACCAAGATGTTGCTACTGTCCTTGGCAAATTGAGGTACGAGTTTAACATGAGCGTGTTGAAGTGCATGATTCAACCCGTTTATTTTCGTGTCAGATTGATTGGTTTAGAGTATAGACCTTATAAGTATGTCGTTTCGTGCTAGATTAAAACACTAAATAAGTTGAAAGAGTACAACTTGGAGAGGTGGATAAGAAAAAGTGAAAAACATAAAGGAGTAGTAGCTTGAGATGCGGATGAGTGAAATTCACAATAAGTTTAAGGGTAATTGATCAATTAACGAAAAAGCCCTAAAATTTTGATCAATTAACGAAAAAACCCGGAATCTCGCTAAATCTGCGAAACCGGCCACGAATGGTTATTCCGAAGTTTTAGCCGGTATTCTGTCTTTTTTTTTTATAAACAAAAGTTAATTTGGGATTAAATCATAAATTCACCCAAAATATTGGGACTTGATTGGATATATATATATATATATATATATATATATATATATATATATAATTTTATTTATGAATTAATAG